TCAAGATAACAAATGAATAAAGATAGTTAAAAGAAAACTGAATAAGTGATTAAAATGAAAATTAATTAATTCTATTATTAATATACTATCAGCGGTAGATAAGATGTAAAGGATAAGATCCAAGACGCTTCCTTGTGGAACACCAGCCTCAATTGAATAAAAGTTGAAGAATTCTCGACAATAGTGAACTCGAAAGGAACAGACAGAGAGGAAAGATCAGAGTACTAAATATAAAGTCTGAGGTAGATGGAATTTAATCTTGAAGAGCAAGCTGTCGTGCCATACTACTTGCTTTCTAGGGCTGAAGATATGTGGTCAATAATTTGAATTGATGGATAGAGAAGTTTTTAGATTCTATTATGGGAAGAATTTGTTTCTGTAGAATCTTTAATAAAAAAAAAATTGAAAGGATTGGTAATAGACTAATTGGTTTCAGGAAAAGGAAGGTGCTAGAATGTTTTCATAAGAGAAGAAAGTGTGGGTTAGTAAGATGCAATTGTGTATATATGTGAGGAATATGATAGCTTTGAATGGAAGTTGTCGTGGGGTTAAAAGGTCGTATCCAGAAAATTTACCACGAGGAGTGATTTTACGTAAAAGGTATTTGACCTCAGAGGGATCAATTGCTTTAGAAGACAAAGTGAATGGGAATTGTGAAGAGGGGGGTATTCTACTTTTGCAGTTTATTTTAGTTTCATATTTGTATTACTATAACATTATATTTACGTCTATATACTGATAAGCTCCTCATTCTTGTAGCCTTGAAAAAGGCCTTAAAAATGAACCGAAACGTCTTTATTTTCTACTATTTTAGGAGTAATTTTGAAATTATTTCATCGTTTATTTTTTATAAATTGCTAATTATCATTTTGTAGTTCTTTAACGCTGAATTTTAATAATTTAAATATAGAGCTATTTTACATCTATTTATCATTCTTGATGGAAAGATAATCTGTATAAATAATTTTACAAATAACTGTTTTAATTAATTAACTAAAACCTGTTGAAATAATAATAATAATTAAATTGTGTCAAAATAACTGCTGTAAATATAATAAGTAGTGTAGAAAATAGAAATCTCGTATCACGTTCAATGTTTATGTGTGAGCCCGTTAGAAAAAAAAACATTTGACACTCACACACACGTGACATTAAAACAAAACGTGACAATGTTTTATCATGAACGATACGTATCAGGTAAAATATCTCGTCCCCTTTTAAGTCTTCTAGACCGATGTTATCCTACCGATGATAGCATCCTTCCAACAGATACGTTCCTCAATATTTAAAATTCATTTTATCCATATTCCCACCGTTTCATGTTGTATTTAGAACCCTGTTTGTATTCGTGCATAAAAATATAGTCACCCTGAGAACTGTGTTTGACGTTGTGTAAACCGCCATGTCTAAGAGTATGGTATTGAGAAGGCAATTACAGCCTTGGAACACACCCATGATCTAACAAGCCTTGGAACCTTCCAGTGACAGCTTTATTTCAAAACTTATCCATAATTACCGGTTATTAATTAATACGTCTCATTTAAACGATAATTAATAGGCTTCTTTTATAATTGCTATGAGCTGTAGTAATTATGACAGATGCACTAATCGATTTCGTAAGTATGGAAAATTAATTGTTGTAGAAAAGTTTTGTTTTAAGAGTTTAATTTTTTTCTTTTCATTTTGCCTTTCGTTCTCTGTCGCAATACCTCGGCCTCTTATTAGAAAGAAGACTAACATGAAAGTGGATTTATATGTATATATATATATATATATATGTGTGTGTGTGTGTGTGTGTGTGTGTGTGTGTGTGTGTGTGTGTGTGTGTGTGTGTGTGTGTGTGTGTGTGTGTGTGTGTGTGTGTGTGTGTGCGTGCGTGTATCATACTTAAAATCCAATTATATAGGCCGCTCATCTTTCTGCGCATCCAATCCTTCTAATCCAAAATCCTTCGAATAATAGTCAATGCACACAATTGAAAACAAATATATGAACAAAAACACATTCCTGAAATCTATCTGGACTTACGCACTAGAGCTGGGGAAAACAGCTAAATTTTTAACAACAAACCCATCCAATCCTTCCAGTCTAATGTCCTTCGAACTATTTCCAATGCTCCATTCTACGTAATCAACATAACCCTACATTATGACCTTAATATCTCTTTTGTTCTCTTGTTCTTGAATTCTACAAGTTTCAACAAAACTTTATTTATCATTCTAATTGTGTAGCGCAATCAATAACTAGTTTCACTTATCTCTACAATCCTACTCGAAAGGCAATGGTCCCGCGACTTATACTAAGTATATGTATATATATCAGAGTTCTGGAAATAGCCAGAATCTCTTCTCAAGACATATGCGTATGTCACTAAAGCCCTCTCGCTCAACCTCCACTTGCAATTAATTCTGGCGACTAACTAAGAGATCATGCTGGGATTTTTTTCCCTCAGAAATTTTCTTAAAAAATCAGATTTAAAGGAGCAGGAGTTACGAATCCTAACTTACGACTGTTTCATAAGTCTCACTACAGTGACAGTTACCCGATCAAATTCGCTCTTTGGTGTCTTTGGTTGAACGTGTGGGAACCAAATATTTTTTTTTCAATTATATACAGATGAGATAATAAGGAAGTTATCACAATCGAATTTTGATTGTTGTGTGGCCAAGATCGTGAAAATGTTTAAGAAACCGCGACAATGATAAAACATTAAAATCTGGATATCTCTCCAATCATTAATTTCAAGATCTCATTTATTTTTTCTTTAACAGAAGTGCTCTAGTATATTAAGCCAGGACAATAACAATTCTACTAAAATAATAATACAATAATATAATACAATTAATAATAATAATAATAATAATACAATAAAATAATACAATAGCTAATAAAATGTTATTCACTCTCCCCAGCCTAAATGCAATAAATGAGGTTTTTAATTTGCCGTCTTCATTATCCAAGACATTTTTGTGTCATATTTTGAAAGCCATTTTTAACATTATAAAAAAAAAAACGATCCTTAGAAAACACTTTGCTCAATCGGGACTTGAAAGTTTCCCGTTTTTTTGAGAATCATCGATACAGTAAATAATAAATAGATATTTTTAAAATTACCAAAATGTCGTGATAAGAGTTCATACCTCTTAAAGGACGTTGATAAACTATGTGGTGCCTTATAGTTGACCGATAGAAGTGCGGTTTATAAGACTTCCTTCCTCGCATATTATAAATAGCCATCCACCTTCGTACGGATCATTCAGTCTACGTTTTTTTCGTTGTGTTCCTCTCGGTACTGGTAATACTTACTATATCCCAATTATTTAAATTAATGTTTAATTTTTTATTGTATGTTTTTGGATAAAAACCATTCCTTAAATTCAAACATGTTTTAAAATGTTGATGTGAGCTTTTCAATCTTTATTCGTTCGTTTCCGCTTCGCTGTTATATAATATAGTAATATTCAGACGTTTATATCGGATTGAGGTTATTTTATATAGTTTGTATTGAAGTGATTTTATATAATTTCTCTGGCACTTCAATTAACCTCCATCCCTTTATTATATATTTTAATAGTAAAATATGCTGGTTAACGTTATAAAATAAATTCCCACCATCAGAACTATTCGTTATTAAATTACTGAAAAAAAAAATCACTTAACCATACTTTACAATATTCTTATTTTAACTCTTTATATAATAATAACTAAGATATTATTACGGTTGTTGATATGAAATGCATAGGAAATGTGGTATGTGATATAAATTTTGAAAAATTGTGCAGATCCAAAGTAATTAATAGTTAATCTACTTGTACAAGAAAGAAAAATCACCAACAAAAATTCTGACTGACAAGCAGAAAACAATTTTTTGTCTAGATGATATTTGATTGGTAATTTCACAAACATATTTCGACAAGTGGTAAATAACATGTACAATAGAAGTGTTCGAAAATGGCCAAGTGGCCGAAGCTTTGCAAAAAAATTATGTTGATGCAATCAAATAAAGGTTTTATTTTTTAATATTGAAAACAACTTTTATGTCTTATGTTTTTTGAGATATGATTTCAAAATTTTGTCAATTATTATTAATTGGACCTTTCAGTTGACAGAATGACTAAATCCAATTTCGATATTTTTGAGTAAAGTCATTTTAGTGGTATTTCTAGTTGGAAAATTTATAATATCTGTACAGGCAGTGAATAAGTTGATTCCAGAGTAGGTGGTTGAATTGTTGAATTATAGAACTCTGCATAAAGGTATAAATTTTCTCACTAGAAATATGACTAAAATTAATAATAAAAAATGTTGAAATCGGAGTTAGTTATTCTGTCAACTGAAAGGCTAAATGAACTAATGATAAATCTTTTACCTTGTCGTTTTAATAAACAAATGATAAGTCATCTTTCAAGTGAAATTAATTATTCATTAAATCATAATACATTAAAATCAATGTTCTTATATTCCCAGCACACTTTACCTATTAAAACTATCATAATCTTTATATATTTTTTTTCCTACACCCTATTGTATTTTCTGTTAAATTATTAGTTATTTTTATTAATATTTTCCTATTATTTGATTTTTATTTTATTTAATATATTGTAATGTGTATTAATTATTTTGTATCATTTTATAATTAATAGTTATGCCACTATTTTTATTCCGAGTACATTATACAGATTTAAAATATGGCTTCCTGCTAAATGTTAAAATATATCGATATGATGTTATATTTCGTTGTCGTAATGATTCCCTAACTTCAGGAAATTTTATCAGTCAGTTATAAATCCGTTTTAGAAACTATAGACTTTGATTTCTAATCTCACAATATGAATTATTAAATGTTTTATAAGCCTGGAATGATTTATTGAATTTCCGTTATGAATTTTTTGTACCTGTATAACTGTGATGACTGTTTGCTTTTGCGAAATTTCATTGGAATAATATAAAGCTTGTTTAATTTTTGTATATAAATAATATTGTTATTATTATTTCAGTGCTAAGATGGCGAGCCAGAATCTGCTAAAGTTATACGACAGGCCTACTGAGCCCGTGTTCATGCCCAAGGGTCGTGACAACACCACCTTCGATATCCCTCAGGAGTTCCTCGTATGAAAACATGTTAAAATAATTATACTTTTTATTTTATTTTTAAACAATAAAAATTAATCAGTTGTCGTCATATTGCAGAGCGATCGGTTCAAGCCGCTGAAGAACAACTTGGACAATCGCTTCGGGAGCGGGAAGAAGATTGCTGTGAAAAAGATCAACCTTCCCGATCTGAGTTATCCAGAACAGCTTGGACGTAGAGCACAGTTCTCCCTCTTCCTCCCATCCCACAGAGCAATGGCTGCCAGGCTGGTCGAAGTCTTCATGGGTATGGACCACAGCACCTTGTAGCCATAGAGATAATTTTAACTAAAACCTTCAAAGTTATGCGGATAAACGATTAAAATAAAACCAGTGGCCAGTGGCCAGGCGGAAGCAGGCTACTGCATCTCTTCTTGGTACGTCTGCTGGGATCGGGTTTTCCAAACATCCATAACGTCTCCCTTCCACCTTGTCTTTGTGTATATTTTTTGTTTCCTCCTTCACTACCATCCTCAACATTCGTCGAATTGAATCGTAGGATTTTAGATGGACTGTTTGTGGCAATTCTGCTCCCCTCGTGGCGAGACTATCCGCTTGCTCATTTCCTCCGCAATGCCGATGGAAAGGACTGCGATCATGAAGATTTTCGAGTTGTTAATGGAAATACACATTTGTTATTCTCTGAGTACAAAAAAAAACAAGTTTCGCGAAATTCTCTCCTGTCTGTGTACATCCTTGCTCAAAAAATAAAAGTCGTACTAAACTGAAATTATGTATTTATGGTAGATAGAGCAAGTACTTCTTCAAAATCGACTAACCGGAAGTGGTACTATGACTTAGAAACGTATACCAATGTAAAATCAAGTGGTATTTATTTTGAGACAGGTGATATGTTTATTAAATGTCCAATTTTGTTTATTTAAAAAAAAAATAACCTTTTTGTACTTTCACTAGTAATAAAAACTGGTTAAATATAATCCTTAAAAATAATTAATCATTAACTAAAGGAGAAAAAAGGTTTGGGAACTAAAATATACAAACTGCAGACTGTGCCCGACCTTTAACGACCCCCCTCCATTTACAGATACCCGATACTGCCCTGTACAGGGCTTTCATGTTGTTTGCTTAACTGTTATATTTCACCAATGGCCCACTTTTAGACAAGCACCTCGCCAATACTAATACCTAAGTTATGTATATCAAAGGATCTTTGCATCAATTAATTTAATAAATAACCATCATAGGTTTATGCATATTTCACTTGGAAATTTCAGGAATGCGAACCTTAGATGACTTCCTCAGCGCTTCGGTGTTGTGCCGTGACCGGATGAACCCTTACATGTATATCTATGCCTTGTCAGTAGCCATCATCCACAGGCCTGATACACAGAACCTCGAAGTGCCTTCCTTCGCTGAAGTCTTCCCGGACAAGTACATGAACAGTGAAATATTCGCGAGGGCAAAGGAGGAATCCAACATTGTACCTGAAGAACAGCGGGTATGTCTGATACTTATTGCAAATACCTTGACAAAAGATTGGTCTATATTTTTTATTATTAATCTATTTAAGAATTTATTTAGCTACACTGCTTCATAAATATTATATTAGGGTCCTTTGTCCTTTTTCACTGGAAACATGTGCCTTTAGAATCAATTCTAATCTAGAAAAATACTTACATATTTTACAACTTGGATAAAAATGTAATTAAGGACGAAGTTACCATGCCTAGGAAAGAATAGGCTCAAATGCTGTTTGGTTAAGATTATTCTTGATTTAAACTGTTAATTGTTAATTCAGGCCATTTTCCGGTAATTATTTATAGATGAGGAATTCACGGGTTACGATTCACAATCACTTCGGTCACACTTGTTCATGAAACACCGAATAGAACAGGCTTTAGCAAAAGTCCGGATGCACTCGGTACTCCATGAACAAGTGTGACCGAAGTGATTGTGAACCTCGCGGTCCCCATCTAAATAATTACCCATTTTTCTATTGATTATAAAAACATATGACTAGAGAAAGACATATTCTTTTGAATTACTTCCTAAACGCTACTCCAAGATGGCTGATTTCAAGATCGCATTGACCACTCTGAAGGTGAAATCCTGAAACAACCACGACAGTGTAACCGAAAATAGACCTAGGAAACCGATCTCACGCTCTTCACTGCAAAATTTTTGGTTAGGCTGTCAGCTGTTCACATTTGGTTCGCTTCTTTTTATATATAAAATAATAGCGTGAAGCGACTTATCGAAACGTTCTTTCAGCTGTTGGTCGAAACTTAATCTTCATCCTTTGAAATTAATATCAAAATATATATAATTATTATATTTTCGTCTAATGATAATCATCATCATCTGTATACTTTCGGTTGATCAAACACAATCAGTATGATCACATCCTATCGCTCATTCGTTAATGCTAAAAATGGTCCATTACTTTTATATGTTTTTAAGTTATCCTCAAATAAAGATTCCTTTTCCGCATAACTTGTTTTCCTCATTTTTCTGAATCATCGAAATGATAGCTCAATCATTGGATTCACTGAAGCTTCCCCCCTCCCCCAAAATGGTAAAATATAACCATGTTTTATGGACAAATGTATTATGATTATAAAGTATTAAAGTATTATTGTTCATGTAATTACATTTAAAAGGACTTAAGGAATTTCTTAAGCACCATTTCATATAGATAGTTAGTTTCTTTCTTTTTTTTTTAAAGTAATTATCTTCATTTTTATGTAAAAAAAAAAAGCTTTCGTGCTGAAGCCTCCAGTCCCCCAAAAAAATTAAATCCTGGATCCACAAGTGATTGGATTGAATGAAGAATTAAAAAAAAAAAATCTTTTGAGAAATTATATATTAGATTATATAGATAATAAACTGATTTCTAAGCTATATCTATGGCATTTTGTTCCTCCTTCCTCCCCTATGCATTTAATAGTGTTGATGTTGAACTAACCTTTGCCCTGGCCTTTTATATTGCGGGAACTTATAAAATATTTGAAACTAACGATCCTCTCCCACAGGAACCCTTAGAGATCCCAAGGGACTACACTGCTTCCGATCTAGAGATCGAGCACAGGGTTGCCTACTTCCGAGAAGACGTTGGGATAAACCTCCACCATTGGCATTGGCACTTGGTGTATCCATTCGACGGGCCGCGTTCCGTCGTGATGAAGGACAGGCGAGGAGAGCTCTTCTACTACATGCACCAGCAAATCATGGCGAGGTACCGTTAGATCTGAATATCCTATTTGATAATATTTCAACTATCAATGATAATTAGTTTTATTGTTGCAATTTATTAATTATATGCTCAATTATTTATAATTATATATATATATATATATATATATATATATATATGCAATGGTACATAACATAAATAGATACAACATGGAGAGGCTGTGCAACAACCTGGCCCGCGTGAAGAGGTTGACCCACCTGCGGGAGCCGCTGGAGCAGGGCTACTTCCCCAAACTGGACAGCTTGGTCTCCAGCAGGGTATGGCCTCCTCGATTCGCCAACACCAAACTTAGCGTGAGATAAGACTATTATTTATTAAATTCATTGATTTATTATATATACAATCATAATTTATCAATAGTTAATTTACAGTAATTAATAAAGATTGAGCCCATTTTCATTCCATCAAAAAATCACATAAAAATTCTTTTATCAATAGTAAAAAACTTTTATTCAGTTACATCAACATATATTTGTTTGTAACGTTTCGGCCGCTTGACCATTTTAAAACATTCCTTTAAACATGTTATATACCACCTGTCTAAAATTTCCTGCATAATTTGTCAATAACATCAAGAACAAAAATATCCTTTTGTTGGTCAGGATTTTTGTTGGTGATTATTTTTTTCTTTCTTGATTCATATGCATATGTGGATAAACCATTTATCATTTTGAAACTTATCTATTTTCAAATTTACTACTACAATGTACCATATTTACCATGCCTGTATTTTCAACAACTGTTAAATGACAAATGGTTTATCTACATATAAATTAAGATGGAAAAAATAACTACCAACAAAAATCCTGACTGACAAAAAAAAATTGACTAGATATAGTAATTGACAAATAACTTTACAGAAAATTTTAGATACCCTCCTCTCCGCTTCTCTGAAGATATTTTACTCTCCCCTTCTTGAAATCAGTGCAAGCTAAAGTGGAATGTTAAAAATGATAGGTCATATACAATTTCACTTTCTTTGAATAAACTCCTTCAAAATTTGCCCTCTTAAAAATTCAAAACCCCGTCAAAATTTTGATGGTGCAACTTGCACCATGAAACCCCTTCCTTTCTGGACAGCCCTGATGATATGTGTAAAGAAATGTTTAAAAATGGCCAAATCAACGAAACGTTACAAACAAATATATGTTGATTTAACTAAATAAAAGTTTTTTAATATTGATAAAATAATGTTTTATGTGTTATATTTTTTGGGATGAAAATGGGTTCAAAAATTTGTTAATTACTGTTAATTAAATATTGATAAACTATCATTAATGCATCCCGTCTTTTATATAATATATAATATACATATTTAATATACATAAAAGAAATCATATTTATTTTACGATATTAGTCAACTGTTTTAAACTTATTACACTGGCAATCAAAATGTTTCAACTATTTCCTGCTTAAAATGTTTTAATTCATAAACATGGTATAGGGAAAAAAGATTTTTTCAAGATATTCTTAAATGGAATTTTTAAACGTAATAATTAGGTTGATAAAAAATAAAAATAAACCCGAATACGGAAATCGGGAAATCTCTCCCATCCTTAGGGAATGTTCTTCCGTATCTACTTAAACATTTTTGTAGATTGTTAGAAAAATTGACATCCACGAATATTTAAACCAAGTCTAGTATTCGGATGCCTACTAAACCCCGAACGAAACTTCCTTATACATGGAACAAAATTTATTTGTCAGTAATATGTAGTGGAATGCTGAATTTATTCGTGTTTTAGCTCAAATAGTTTCATACCAAACGATTGGAGCCATCGAAATTAAAAAGCGGTTCAATCATTCGCTCCTAAAATTGTCATATACATTTTTTGGTAAATTGGTTGAAAACATTGCATTCCATCATGTCAGTCAGTTTTTTAGCTGAAATCATTTAAAAAATACTCTAGATATACTTCTCTAATACCTTTCACCGAATAATTTGAGCCATCAAACTTAAAAATAGGCCTGGCCATTTTCTAAAAAAATCAAATTCTTATGGCTTTGATGGAACAAAAGTAATAGAAACGAATTGTACAAATTTTGGAGAGAAAAAGTTTATATGAAGCAACCTGGTGAAAAACAGAACCAAAAAGTTTTTTCACCTTTAATGCGAATTTTAAAATTAGATAAATTAATTAAAATTTTGTTTTGTTCAAAAAGAACGAACATACACAATATCACTTAGAAAGGCAAAATATATCAGCGTTGGATAATTGCAATCAGTCTACAACTTTTCGTGGAAATAAATTGAAAATGACGAAAAAGGCTTGTCATAGGAATTTTTTAAAGTGTAAATCGTAACCGTTAGTGAAGACCTGCAAGAAAGAATGTACCCAAAAATAACAATAACTGTGATTTTTATAAAAATAACTATATTATAAAATGAGTTGTTATCGAAAAACTGCTCGAACAAGCCCCGAAATGGTCTTAAATTGATTTTTTCAAAGGCCTTTTATTAGCGAAAAGTTGCTCTTTAACATTATTATCACGAAAACTGTGTGATATTCCATTTAATAACTAAAAAACGCATATCAAAACATTCTCTTTTTTTTTGCATCGGGCTATCGAACCGGAATCAAAATAAATGAAAAATAAATCTTTACAAAAAATTATAACTTATAAACAACCAATAATACATTAAAAGAAAAAAAATATTTAAAATTAACAAAAAAAGCCTCCACCACTACAACCCATCCTTTCTTTGGTTCAGTATTATTTAGGGAAAGTACTGTTTCTTGGTTAACGGATGTAAAAGGTGATTTGACCGAGAACTCGCTCTACAACGTGTTTTTTTTCCTTTTTTAATTATTTAATAAATATATAAATATTATGTTTTTCACTACCGTTTCGGAAAAATATTATAGATGACCATCAAGCCTTGAAATGTAATAAGGAAAGCAGACTGAGATGTTATCCGAGCTATCTTATCTCTGTATTTCCTCTTTCCCCATTGAGATAACGATATATATTTCGTGTATCATTGGTAATCATTTGTCTATTATTTCTAATAAGAGTATTGCTTATTGATGATTACATATTTCTTTACCATGAAAATACAACAAAAATATTTTTATTGACAAAATATCGCTGCACCCATTTACTTTTAACTATGTATCATCAAATTCTGTAAATTTAAAATGGACAAATATGTAAATTTAAATTTAAAAAAAAAACCTGTAACATTAAAACCTATGAAGGGTCTTGAGTTCAGTACTATTTAGAGAAAGTACTGCTTCTTAGTCAATTTTAATTTAAATAAAAATAATATTATTATGATTAATAGTATTATGAGAAATATTATCAACTATTTTTTTTTTAAATATTACATTCTGTCCTAAAGGACAATTATCAACTATAAGTAATTAATATATAAATAGCTAGATATATAACTGGATTACTATTTTCTCGCCCAATCGATGGTAACCATACATATATAAAATATATATATATATATATATATATATATATATATATATATATATATACATATATATATATATATATATATATATATATATATATATATATATATACATATATATATATATATATATATATAATGTTTTCAAGAAGTTTTAAGGTTGAAAAGTTCTATTAATTATAAAAAAAGGTCATTAGCAACGAAATTAGAGATGACAAATTTTGAGATGAGCACATTTTTACGTGGTTATAATTTTTTTTAAAAGGCTACATTTTTAGTAGCTTAAGAATTTTGCGAGGTAATCATCTTTTCGTGAGGTTTCAATTCGGACGTACTTCCAAACCAGTAACTACAGAAGACACTGTTATTTTTTATTATTTCTTATTGTGAGCTTTTAATCCGCTGTTTAAGGAAATTCCAAAATATCAATATTGCCTAACCATCTGAAGACCCATAAACTAATTATTCGTCACAATACCTGTCAATCTGTAATTAATAATTATTGAATTATATTATAAAATTTTATACATATTTTTACTTAATTTTTTGCAGGATATTTACAGAGAAATAGATCAAATTAAATTCGATCTTCAAGACTTGGAGAGATGGAGGGACAGAATATTCGCTGCCATCCATAGCGGGACTGTAGTGGATGTAAGTGATAGATTACATATGCAAATCGTAAATGCTATAACTTCCGATGATTTACTTTATATAATATATCCGTTGATATATTTTAAAGAAAATATATATGTTGTGCAATGTTAATAGCTTGATATGGTTTATTGTTGATAATTTATAGGCCTAGTATTATGAAAAGGGAGAAAGAAAAAAAAATGTACATATATAATAATAGGAAAAAGTATTGTGGTTGTTATGTCCATATGGATAGGTATTCTGTGTTTAAAGCAAACCTATGTAATAGGGAAGCATTACTTTCAATAAAGTATTTCTCTCTCTCACAAACTAATTCGAATTTGCTTCACCAAAGTATGACAGTTGGTAATGAACAGTTCCAAAAAGGAATAGAATTTTTTTTTTTAAATAGACGGAGATAATTTATAATTAATTTTATTACGAAATCCCATGATCGATCAAGTGTAAACAAGATCCTCTTTTAACCTTCATCTAGACCATCCGGCATTTCATTTATGCGTCTGCTAGTTACGTAATGTCGCCCAAACGAGTTATTCTACGGTTCTTCTACTTTTCTTCAAATTTTATATAAATATTCCTGGAAGATATTTAAAATTGCTTATGTAAAAATGTTAGATATTTCTACATTTCTACATATTTGTATGTTTGTTTTACACTGTGGTATGTATGTACAGTGAAGGGAAAACAGAATCAGATCATAACAATAATTATCAGAAAATTAAATTATTTTTTAATGAAAACATTGGTTTAACTTAAATAAGGTTGAACAATATTGTAAACAAAGAATAAAATATTAAATGAATAGATATTATAAATAAAAAAAGAAAATTAAATGAGCGACATTTTCTATTTAAAAACTACAGTAAAGAGATTATTTTTATATTTTTTTTTCGTTAGGAATAACATTCATATAGAATAGAAAACCCCATCTTTAAAAATATTCGGCAACATTTTTTTTAAATTAAATTTTTTTTTTAATTATTCGAAGTAATTTTTTTCATGTAATTTTAACAAATTATTTAATTTTTTATATATTCACTATCTATATATACATGATATATATTTTATATCATTCAATAAATGTCACTTTTAATATGAGGGAAAACATGTTTCTGTATTGTTATCTTAATATTAAAACATCAATAATTCACTCTATTTATTTAGAAACAATTAACATGATTTTATATAGTTTGAATCGATCTCTGAGTCAATGATTCGATGTTATCTGCGAATTAAATTACGGAAGAAATTCCGAATTTGATTTATTCCTATAATTATGCTACCTTTTCTAAATTTATTCATTGTGACAATTATCACCGTCTTTTTAATAACTAGCAAGAATTTCAAGTCTGATTAAATTAACTAAATCTGAATTCAAAAGAAAAAAAAAACAGGCCTTAAGTTTAGTCGCTTGCTCTGAATTTAAAAACCAATGATTTTATAGTACTCCGTGTTACAGACCCTTTTCATCCAATTATTAACATGCGTTTAAAAATTCGAAAAAATCGAGAAAAAAGGTGGCCTTCAAAAATAGTGAGCCGTTTGGCGTGACCTACACCCCCAAATTTTCAAAATAACAAGGTTATATAGGACAAACGGCCCAATATTTTTGTAGCCTTTTTTATCTATTGTGTGATCAATAGATGCATGCAAGCAAATGTTTATTTACGAGTTTGTAGTATCTAATAAAAAAAACAAATTCCCCTCCCCCCTCCAGATGGAAAACGTCCCAATCCCAAGAGTTTTCGTAAATAAAATAGTTGTAGCTTACGATGAGATGAAACTATTTATGAAGTTTCAGGTAGTTGTATGTTAATAATTCGATAAAAAAGGGTCTGTACCACTGACTATAGGGAATTTAGAATAATTTAACACACTTATTGTACAGCAAAGTATTTGTTCAAACCATGAAACAAATATAGAATGTATACAATTAAACTTTTAATTTAATAATGTCTTCCTTTGAAACATTTCTCAAGGAACAAGGACAGTTTATTGAACTGACTGAATCGCGTGGAATCGACATACTTGGGAACTTACTTGAAGCAAGTATATTATCGATCAATAGGAACCTATACGGCGATCTTCACAACTTGGGCCACGTCGCGATAGCTTTGTGCCATGATCCAGAAGCGAAGCATTTGGTAAGTTTTTTTTTTTTTTTTGTCATTCCTATCAGATTGTTATTAGTTGTAATGAGGTTCCTGCGATGAACGATATTTTCAGGAAACATTTAGTATAATGGGAGATCCAGCGACAGCTATGAGGGACCCAATTTTCTACAGATGGCACGCCTTCATCGACGACATATTCGCGGAACACAAGAACACCCTGCCACGTTACACTACCCAACAGGTCAGTAATTATCTCATAAAGGACATTAATGTGTTTTTTAGATGACAATTACTATGTAGATAAACTAACAATGAACGATGAATTCAGCTCGACTTCTCCGGAGTGAGGGTTACGTCAGTCGAAATCCAAACTGAGGGACAAAATCCTAAAAATCGACTGTCCACTTTCTGGCAACAGAACGACATCAATCTGTCGAGGGGCCTCGACTTCTCCCCCAGGGGACCTGTCTTCGCTCGGTTCACGCACCTTCAGCACAGGCCGTTCACTTACAAGATCCAAGTATGGACAAACAGATAATGGAACCTAAGTCATTTCTATATTTAAAAAAAAATTAAATATTCAATTCTTTTTTTAAGGTTGAGAATAGTGGAGGAAACAAAACTGGAACATGCAGGATCTTCATTGCTCCCAAGTTCGATGAAAGGGGGCTACCGATGCTATTCAGAGACCAGAAGAACCTCTTCGTAGAATTGGATAAATTTACTGTTAACCGTAAGCAACAAAGGGATTTTTAAAACGTATTAATATCATTACTATGATATAAATGAAGTCATTAAGTAAGTTAACCCGTTTCGATTTTTATGGAAATTTAGATAAATATCGATTTTAATTTTTTTTCAAACACGAAAATAAATATTTTTAAAAATGAGGTGTTAAAATAAGTATATTTCCAAAACCGGCCTTTCTATCAAGGAATGTAATGGAACCTGCATTTCGTAGGTATTCTTAAAAAAGTAATTCATCAAAAGCTTTTTTAACAGTTGGATTTGACTGAAAACTATAAATACATTTATTTTAGCATACCATTATCAAAAAAAAAAAAAAAAAATTAATTTTTATAACTTTCCACTCCCAGAATCATAATCTATTTTTCCTCCTCACATCAAACTCTAATCAATTTTTTTTTTATTCAAAAACGGGACTTCAAGTTAAATTATTCCTTCAAATATATAAAATATTCTACAAAACTCTATTGAACTTCCGATGTTTTTACTATCGAAATAATCAGTGATTTTCGGAAATACTTGCTATAAATCAAGAATTTATTATTTTGATATTAATTTAAAAATATTGGTTTTGATATTACAATCCTGAAAAATGGTCAATAATGATAAGGGCTAACTTTGGGTGGGAAAAAACTACTCAATTCCTTAATAATATCTGACTAAGGTTACTTTTCTTGTTTTAGTGAAAGGATCCAAGAACACCATTACTCGGAAATCGACAGAATCGTCTGTGACGATCCCGTTCGAAAAGACGTTCAGGAACCTGGACCAGGGAAGGCCGGCTGAAGGAGAAGATCTAGAGCAGTTCAACTACTGCGGCTGCGGCTGGCCGCAGCACATGTTGGTCTGCAAAGGCAACGCTGAAGGCTTCCCCTGCCAGCTTTTCGTCATGATATCCAACTTCAGTGATGACAAAGTAACCATATTTCCATTTATTATTACCACATTAGATCCAAAGCTTTTTTTTTTATTTATTTTTTATATACATATTTTTTTCATTTTTGGACTAAAAAACATAGGCTGAAACGTCGACACGAATATATTTTTATTTTTATATTTCACTTTGACTGCGACCTCCCAACCATATTGCCTTTAGTTAACTATTTCTCCACCACTGCCATTAAATGCTTTACAATTTGTGTTGTATCCCTTCAGTCTGGATGTGCAATATATGCTACCATCATAAAAGCAAGTCATTCTCTCCTTCCTTTATAAATATCTCATTACCACCATATTGACTGATAGCCAAATCTTATTACTTCCTACGTACTATCTAATTACTCCCATTAAACAAGTTCTTGAACGCCGCAGGTGGACCAGACGGGAACCGCACCGCAGTGCATGGACGCCGTCAGCTATTGCGGGATCAGGAACCAGGTGTACCCGGACAAGAGGTCGATGGGCTACCCGTTCGACCGGCTGCCCAGGGCGAGGGTGGACACGCTGGCGCAGTTCCTCACCCCCAACATGAGGGTCGTCGACGTGACCGTGCAGCACACCAACACCACCGTCAGGCCGCAGGATACCCAGCAGGCGGGGAGGGCTTGAAGTGCTGTCGTATTTAACAGAAATAAATAACTTCTTATGAAATTTAAATGTTTTAAATATCCTCATCTAGTAGTTATAAATTAATACGTTAGAAAAATTATTAGTAGAAATGACAACCTTATATGGTTGAATGAATGGTTACAAATCAAATCAAAGGTAGTAGTAAATCTCAACTCTACTAGTTATCTAGGACCGCCTCCTCCCAAGTTTGGTATTTTCTGCTTGTATAAAATACGAGTGAAATGTCAAGTTCGGTTAGTTAACAGTGGGTGCTGGATTCCCTCATGGTCTATTATACCAGATGTATTATATTTAAATTGCATTCCCTTTTTTCGCTCGCTAATTTTGAGATCAGGATTATTACACCGTATTTCTATCGATAAAATTGGCATTATAAAAGCCGCAACGCCTTACTAAAACGATTTGCCACGTTCTGAATCTCGGTTTACCACAAAATACATCGCAACTAATGCTCGATACCTTGATCAGGGTATGTGCTTGTAATTAGAAGATATGCTTTCTAAAAATCCCATCTTCTCTAATGACCTTTAAGCCAATTGAATATGATTGGTGTAATGGTCTAAATGCCAAACCGCACAACATTTAATTTACACAGCGCGGCTACACGAGACCTCTATCCCACTTTGATTGTGACCACCGCTGAAGATATATCGGCTATCTTATCACATTAGCATCTTCATCCTGCCTTCATCATGCCTCTGCTTTGGATCATTGATACGTGGGTTTCGTTAATTGTGTTTACAAAAAGTCTCAATCGCAAAACATTCCCTTTAATTCATATAAAGCTTAAAGTTCCTTTTTTTTTTTTTAATTTTTATTTATGATATGTACAACTGTATTAATATAAATACATCAAGCAAATGTGTACACAGAAACATTATCACTTGAAAACGCTTGCTGAGAAACCCGGTGGTAGCACTCTAATAATATGTCTACAAAAGGAGATCACGCCACCATCTTCTTTTCAGACGCCTCAGAGGATTATCAGGAGTTGAAGAGGAAGCAAGGTTAGAATCCAAAACACGATCTATATTAAAAACAAAATCTCAATTCTATCGCCATATTCGTACAACTTACTTAATCAAATTTCTAATCTCTTCTTTTTTATTCAGATTATCAATTTTTATTCAGCTGCTTAGTGGTGAAACATTAATATACAAATCGAGTGGAATACATTAATATAAATATTGTTATTACTCAGTGATTAATGATGTAAGGGTCTAAACTACTTATCAACTGTGTTGAAACTAGTTATTTTGTGTTCTTCTGAGATATCTTTTTAAGTGATTCAATAGGATGAAGAAAAAAACAAAAAGAAGAATCGATACTGAAAATAATAAAAAACCTCGAGATAGGCATTCAGTCATTATGTAACCCTTGTTAAAGATGCACCTGTCAAGGTGCCCTGGTATACAACACTCGCTATCTCTGTTCGCTCCCGGATCTTCAATTAACTAAAAAATATAGAGCAATTATATATATATATATATATATATATATATATATATATATATATATATATATACATATTATTGTTAATACCATTCACAGAGGACTTTTGTGCGGCTAAATTATGCTAAGTTCTGTTTTTAGAAATATCACAAATTATTCGCCATTTTTTTATCATCATGCAAGTTTCCCCACATTTACAAAAACTTCTTCGTTCAATAAGCTTTAAGTTCGTATTAATTAAGTTGAGGTTTCTTAGAGAAAATTTTGAGATTTACTTCAAGTTTTGTGAAAAAAAAAAGGATGAAATGTTTTATCCTGTCAAGTAAAACTACCTCTGTTTTAGCTAAAATTATAACAATTACGTGTTCCAAAACTTTTATTTCTTGTTTTTATATGTTCTGGGATGTATTTTAATAAACCCAATCTCTATACTGAGTTTTTCACCCAGATCTCTATTATAGGAATTGATCTGTATTTGTGAGTGACAAAATAAAAGTTTTTAGTCCTAAAATTTATATTTAAAATAAAAATAAAAAACTGCTGACTGCATCAATTATTTTAATTAAAGCGTTATTATTAGGATCAAGAACATTTAGTCTGTCAATTATAAAATCGGATCGATTCATATAATAGAGCTCTGGGTTAAAAGCAAAGTTTATAACCGATTTACCGGAAAAAATATTTGAAAAAACAGTATTTTTCGAACTATTTTTTTTTTTTTTTTTTTTATAAATAAAACGTGTGTTTAGACAATGGGGTTCATTATGGGAGCTTTCGATTCAATAAAAACCACGTCTCGCTTAAAAAACGACAAAACTTGGATTTGCTATTTTTCTGCTGATAATTGGCCCATTGTTTATAAGAACTTTTTTGTAGTTCTTGAGATCTGCTATCATTTCTATAAATATTTTTCTCTACTTACGAGAAACCCTCTATACATTAGTTAATTAATTCCGTGATAAGATAAATATTTTCATGAACCTAAATTGTAATTAATTTTTAACAAAATAATGACATCCTTTTTGTATTTATTTTGAACTTTTCAATTTTATTTTTCTAATCATAATAAAATTTAAAAGTTAGCTGAGACATAGATCAGGTCCGATCCTGATAGCGCCCACAGTGTTTGAACTCCATACATAGTAATCCATAAAAAAAAAAAATTGCAATAAATTCTCACATCTACGTTTCGGTCGATTCATAAAAGGCTTATCCGTCATTTCATTCTTGAACACCACTCATAGCAAATAGTTTAGTTGTCCATATCCCGAATATTACATGTCCAATTTCGATCCACGGAATAAAATATGGAGAAAATTACATGGCAAGATGATAGCCAAGATATCCTCAGAACATATCAGGAGCTGGTGGACCAATGAGTGAGTGACCTGACCAATCAAGTCCACGAAGAAAAATCGACGTTGGCTTACAAGACGGTAGATTCGATGCACTAAGTGGAAAGCATGGTTGACTATAACGCCATCAAAACCGATATAGACAGTTATATGGTTCCTCCTTTTATAAATAATTCTGAAGATTTAAGAAAATATTATTGGTTAGGGAACTTGATAATCTCTCTAATGGATAAATTTGATATAATGTTTTAATACATTTGAAATTATTAGCTTTTCAATAGAAAGTAAATCATTATTATTATATATATGAGTGGCTTCATATAAAAGGCGGACATATATCATTTTCAGAAAGTGTATTAAAAGTCACTTTTTGTTTTATAAGTTCAATTCAAACTGTTTCTGGTGGATTTATTCAAGACTTTTCAAGTTGAATCATGAAAGTAATTCATTAGAATTGGTTTAAATTTAAGCTATGTTTCGAAAATTTCCTTTTTCTCCAATTTTTAAAAATTACGGATGTGACATAAAGCCACTCCTATGAATTGTAATCTTACCTTGCTATAATTATTGTCCAAGTGACAGAATGTAATATTACTCAATAAATGAATTTAAAAAAATATATATTGTTAATGAAATAAAACAAAATGTTTAAATAAAATAATCAGATTTATAAATAAAAATCATAAAATATCGATATGACAAATAAATATATTTAAAAAGCTAGTTGGCATACTAAAATAAATGTATTAATGTAAAATACAGTATCATTAAGCAGAAGTAGATAAGTACATAATTTCTTTCGGATAATGGACTCCTTTTTTAATCGAAGTTCGGGACTTAAATGGAATTAACAATTACCGCGAATTTGGAACAAAATTAAATTCGTGAAACAAATTTAACGCACGACAAACATGTACTGAATGCCATTTATCTAGTGTTTTTAGATGATAATAAAACCTATAAATTTAAAAATGTTGATACGCCGTAAATAATTATAAAACGTAATAATTACAATTTTACACACTCTCAGTCCCATAAGTTGTCAAAGTTAATTCACACTAGTAATTTGAAAAGAATTATATTGCTATCATTTATTTATATTTTCTATAAATATGATGTAAATTTACTATTTCATCAATATTATAACAGTTCTTAATTATGCCAGATTGTAACTTTATTCAATAAAAGAGATTAAAAAAATTGTGAATCAAGTTTCAGTTCTGTCAAATGTTTATGTGCAGTCTTGCATCTTGTTTTTCTCTCAGTATAGAATGTCTTTTGAATTTGTTAGCTTAATGTCCTCCATTGATTGCTCTCTGATTATTCTTAATCACAAAGTATGAATATATATATGCATCTAAACTAATATGTTTGCAAATCAGCTAAACATATTAGGCCACGGAACAAACCCCTTTTATCAAATTAACATCCGTCAAAAACTTAGCGAATGGCTTCATATTATCGTAACCTACAACATTTTTATCTACAAAAATTCTCAGAAAATGCATTTTCTAATAAAAAATATTAATTAAATTTTACTTTTCATTTGATTCGTAAGATAATTTGAGCAAAAAATCGAGAAAAAGGGAGGCCTACAAAAATATTAGGCCGGATGGCCAAAATAACCTCGATATTTAAGTTACCATCTTTAATATTGTTTACTTGAAATGTTATAGTCCGTTGTATAGACCAGTTTTTATCAAATTATTAACATACGTCTAAAACTTCGTAAATAGCTTCATCTCATTATAACCTACAACTATTTTATATACGAAAACTCTTGGAATTGGGGCGTTTTCAATCTGGAGGTCCTCAAACTTTGTCTATTTAATTAGGTATTAAAAACTCTTATATACCCATTTGCTTTTCACTTACATCGTAAGATAATTTTAGCAAAAAATCGAGAGAAAAGAAGTAGTCTACAAAAATATTGGGCCGGTAGGTCTTAATAACCTCGTTATTTTGACATGTTGGAGAAGGAGATCACGCCAAAGGTCCAATGTTTTCGTATGCCATATTTTTTCTCGTTTTGTGATAATTTGTGTTCATGAGTTTTTAGTACCTCATCGAATAGACAAAGTTCAGCGATCTCCTGGTTGAAAAAGACCTTTTTCTGAGAATTTCTGTAAATAAATACGTTGAAGGTTACGATAATATCAATTTACAACGGATGTTAATAAT